CAATTTTGCAAGCAATTTATGTGTGATTCGAATGTGCAATCCTGAAGCTACTTGAATGAGATAGAAGAACCAGTTCCTAGTGTCTATATTTTATTCCAGTTCAATTGTAGTAGGTGATTTAACATTGTACCTTTCAGCTTTCATAGAAGCAATTGTATTAGGTACCTAAAGTGTTCAAGTTAGAGTTAACTTGAAGTTGTCGCAACAGTTGAGACTGTGTGCCACAACGGGATTAGAGTTAATCCTTAGGTTTACAAAGAGTTTTTGTAAATGCTATTTTGTCTTAGTGATTTTAGTGGAAGTTTGGGAAAATACTACTGAGTAGTAGGTCGTGGTTTTTTCACCTTTTGAGCCAGGTGTTTTCCATGTAAAAATCTCTGTGTTCTTTATTTTATGTATTTATAAGAGGACTAAGCACATAGATGTTAGACACCACTTCTTAAGAGATAACTATGAGAAAGGACTGATCTCCACAGAATTTTGTGCTACTGATAAACAAATTGTTGACATCTTCACTAAAGCACTGAGTAGAGAACACTTTGAGAGGAAAAGGTTGGAATTAGGGATTATTAAGATCACCTAATAGGTCCAGCTCAGAATGCAGTACGAAAAAAAATATGAAAAAAAAATTTGGCTAGGATATCTGAACTTGTGTAAATATCTAGATTAATTCTTACTCAGCTTCATATTTTAATTAGTATACTCCTGTGACATGTGATAATATGACTCACTGATCTCTTACAAAATTTTCTGTATTATGGTAATTTGAGGCATGTTCAAGAGAATTCTAAATGAAGAACCTGGTTCATCAGTAGGGGTTCATCTGAAAGCTAAGGTATGTTTTCTATACTCTGCACAATTAGAAATATAAATATTTAAATCATGAGCAGAAGTCCTACAATTTTTCAATTCCTAGAAAATTCTATCCGTTAGCTTTGAACCAATTCCGTCTGCCTAGAACTCTAAACCGAAAAAATTGCCTAAAATCTAGAGAAGATAAAACGATCATTCAAACCTGAAATTTCAGGTTGATTAGTCCTCTAATTGACCACTGCTAAAAGCTGTCGTTACCCATTAAATGTGTATTTCTCGTTAAATACACATCATTCCCTCTGCCAACTCCATAATTCTAAATCGTCAAAAATTCCTCTTTCACTTACCCTCTTCTTCTTTAAAACTCTAATTCATCTACTCTCCCAGAAATCAGTGATAATGTCAAACCCCCAAGACAATCCTGGAACTCCTCCACAACCTACCCCTTCTGAGTCCTCCACACCTCCTCAACCCAGCACTAACCCTCAACCTAAGAAAAGGCGAGTAAAGATGCTTGCTCGCAAAACTGTGGCTTCTGGTGCGCTTTCAAAGAAACTGAATGCACAATTAAAGGCTAGCCAAGCCCAAGACTCTGAAAACTCAGACGATTCCTTCAAATCTACAAGTATGGGAGAAGAAACTGGGTCTTCTGATTCTGAGAAGGTTCAAAATTCCGCTTCTGAGGTACGCTCCGTTTTGGTTGAAAATTTGGATAATAGGTTTGTTCTGGTTGGGTCTGTTATGAATGTGGAAATGCCTGAGTCAAGAAGGAGAGGAGGTAAAAATAAAAGTGAAAAAGAAAAGGAGAGTGAGGGTGTAAGCAGTGATGTGAGGGGAAAAAGGATAGAAGTGGATGATTCTTAACCCACCTCTGAGATGGTTAGACCAGCTATTTGTGGGGCTGAAGATGACGTTGTAAAAGAAAGTAGTAAGAAGACAGGGGGAAGTGGATCAGGGGAGGCTGCTGAAGGGTTCGTCAATTTAAGTTCATATGTAGATGAACCTGGTTCATCTATTGAGGAAACCCTAGCGGACCTTCTGAAGAAAGTAGGTGCTAGTTACGACCCTAAGAAAAGAAGGACCCCAACCCCTAAGATTTCCAGTACTGCAAAGAATACCAGGAAAAGAAAGGCTGCCTCTCCAATAATTACTGCCACTTCCTTACCAAAGGGAAGAGCTACAAGAAGCAGGGTGCAATAAAGTGAGGCTGATCTACAAAGTGCTTTAGCTGAGAGTAAGAAGAAAAGAATGGATAAAGGAAAAGGGAAGGTTGCAGAGTCCTCAGAGGCTGCTGAAGATGAGGAGATGGAACTGGTCCATCAAGAAAGGGGTACATCTATGGAGGTTGAGGAGATGGAAAAGGTCCATCAGGAGGCAGTTCAACAAGTGAAGGTTCAAAACCCCAAGCCCGAAAAGCCCAAGACTTCTTCCAAGAAGTCGTCCACTGTGTCTGAAGATGCTGAATCTTCACTAGCCAAGAGGACAAGGTCTGCAGTGAAAAACAAACAAGCAAAAATTTCTGAAGAAGAGGAATGGAGTGAAGAAGAAGAAGATGATTCTGGTGAACAAGACTAGTTTGCCATGTTTGGCAAAAGAAAAATTCTGAAAGGTAGACTACTGAAAGACCTGATGCAACCAAGAATGATAAGATTGGTGGACGCTTTAGATGCTCAGGGATGGAAGGACATTGTCCTTCAGATGGATGGTAGGCTAGCCAGAAATGAAATAATTGAGTTTATGGCGAACGCAGAGGTTCAGGATGGCAAGGTTAGTAGCCTGGTCAAAGGAGTTCAAGTGTCCAGAAAAATTGGGCGAAATCCTTGATATACCCTCTGAAGGGTTTGATGATTATACAAGGCAAAGGTGGCCTTGCCTGGACTCCCTCCCTAATGCTCTTGTAATAACCAGGAGGTTTTGTGATTCTGAAGATGTGAATGAAGCCAGGGCTTGTGCAGAAAAGTGAAATGAGGCCTGAGCACAAGGTCTTGTTTGAATTTGTCAATAAGTGTTTATTGCCCAGACAGGAGAGAAGGCACATTGCTAATTACATGTATTTAGCTCTTGTGGTGTTCCTGGATAGTGGAAGGCAAATTAATTGGCCTGGATTAATCATCAAGCTGCTGGACAAGGTCATCAATGGCTCCGAAGCACATGCTACCCCTATGGCTTTATTCTGACCATGGTTCTCGATAGGTTCAATGTGCCTCTGAAGAAGTGGGAAATGGCATTAACAAGGATCATTTTGGCATTAATACTCTGATTGCTTGTGACTATTTGGTCAATGCCATACCAAATGAACCTGGTTCATCCCAGAAGACTCCTATCAACAGCAAAGTCAGGACTCTGGTTCAGGAATGTGCAGCCAAGGATGCTGAGATAGCTAGGCTCAAGGCCCGTATAGCAGAGGTGGAATCTGAGAGGGATGCTCTCAGAACAGAGGTTACCAAAGAAAAGGAGAAGAATGATGGAATTCTTCATAACATGCTGCAACTTCTCCAATCCCAAAGTCAACCCTCTAGCTCTTCCAAGCCTTAGGAAACCCAGCTTTTGTCTTCTGAACCTGTCCAGTCCTTTTAGTGACCCAGATTAGGGATTTTTCTATTTTTTGCTCATGGTTTGAATGTTTTTCTTTCTTTTTGTGGATTGTGGTGGCAACATATCTCTATCAATGACATCTACTGCCTTTCGCTCTTGTTCAATGTTTATTTTGCCTTGATAGTTAAATATGTTTGCTTGATTAATGATGATTTAACCATGATTGCACTTGCATTTGCCTCAGTGGCCATGAGTACTTATTAATAACTGGGACTCACACATTGTATGCAACTTTTTGATGATGCCAAAAGGGGAAAGAGATATTGTGCTTTACACATTCTGAACAAGTGATATTTATAACCTAATTAACCTGGTTCTTGATGATAAGTGAATTCTCTAAATTTGGATGGTTAAGCTGAGTTCTTACAGGTTCCAAATAAGTAAAAACCACTGAGTTTGTCATCATCAAAAAGGGGGAATTTGTTGGCCCAAGAACAAGTGAAGCTTTGAATATTGACAAAAGAACTCAGACATGGACCAGGTCCATCTTGTGAAGCACAGTCATGATCTATATGCACATGTGAGATGCACGTAAAGAAGATAAGTCAACTTGATCGAGAAGCAATATCTCCTGATCTGATCGAAAAGGTTGCATATTGGATAAGGAGAGAAAGACTCCTTACATAAAGAGAACACAATCTAGGATAAAGATAGTGTTAGAGTTTGAGATCATCATGAACTCTTCTACGATAGAAGAGCAGAAATTGAATCCTAGTCAAACTCTGATCACTAACCTATTAAATGTTAGTGTGTTTTTCTTTTACAGGTAATGCACACAAGCAGGAGTTAAACTTAAATTGAGAGAAAAAGAGCAAGGCGAATTTGCAAGCAATTTATGTCTGATTCGAATGTGCAATCCTGAAGCTACTTGAACGAGATAGAAGAACCAGTTCCTAGTGTCTATCTTTTATTCCAGTTCAATTGTAGTAGGTGATTTTACATTGTACCTTTCAGCTTTCATAGAAGCAATTGTATTAGGTACCTAAAGTGTTCAAGTTAGAGTTAACTTGAAGTTGTCGCAACAGTTGAGGCTGTGTGCCACAACGGGATTAGAGTTAATCCTTAGGTTTACAAAGAGTTTTTGTAAATGCTGTTTTGGCTCAGTGATTTTAGTGGAAGTTTGGGAAAATCCTACTGAGTAGTAGGTCGTGGTTTTTTTACCTTTTGAGCCAGGTGTTTTCCACGTAAAAATCTCTGTGTTCTTTATTTTATATATTTATTATTCCGCAAACAGCTGTAGTTGGAACACCTAGAAGAACCAGGTTCTTCTATTGCGAAAATTGAGTACCACACAAATCACCCCCCCTCTTGCGTGGTGTTGACGCATAAAACATCAAGGTGGCATAACACGGAGTATGCTTGTGAAACTGTACTATCAGCTGGAGTCAATAAGTAAGATCAAGGACACTAAATAGCATATTGGAACTAACACAACAAAACCCGCAATATGCATGACACACACAAGATAGTCACACCACCACGCAAATACCATTAATGACAATACCCCCAGGCCATCATAAATCATCCCCAATATAGCCCACATTATCTCGCCGCATGTGTAATAGTAAAGTAACTGCCCGCCTTGTCTCGCCTCACCTGCATAAATAATTATCCTGCCTTGTCTCGCTAATACGCAAACCACGATATATAAAGCTCGCCTTATCTCCAAATATCAATAATAGCAATAGCACGGACAAATCACGTGCAAACACCCTGACAATCATCTCAACAATTCCACCTGTGCCAAAAACATAACAACACAATATAACAACTCGCACCACATGCGCCATATACCTCAACATTTCCATATCAACAGCCCCAATACCACATCCACACATAGCCCACGACTCAATAACACTAAGTAAAACAATAATAATAATAACACGAGAGTGCGACAAGTAAATCAGCACAAGAATTACAACAAAACGATGAAATGGGAGAATAAACTGAACAATGAAAGACATAGCAAGTAATGCAACAACAACGACCCAGTATAGTCCCACGAGTGGGGTCTGGGGAGGGTAGTGTGTACGCAGACCTTACCTCTACCCCGATGGAGTAGAGAGGCTATTTTCGATTGACCCTCGGCTCAAGAAGACGGAAAGATAAAAAGAGAAAATATATCAGTACCATCATAGAAATAATAACAACAACATAAGAACCAGTGAATAGATGAAAGGCAGAAATAATGACCAGTAAATAATGCCCGGCACTATGAAAATGGAAGAGTAGTGTAAACACAGCACTGACCACTAGCAGTCTAAGACTAAATCCTATCAGCCTAGCCTCACACGTGCTCAACTACCACTAACCCACAACCTTAATGCTCGACCTCCACAGCTTCCTATCGAGTGCCATGTCCTCGGAGATCTGAAGTCTTGCCATATCCCGCCTGATCACCTCTCCCCAATACTTCTTAGGCCGCCCTCTACCTCTCCTCGTACCCACCAACGCCAACCGCTCGCACCTCCTTACTGGGGCATCCAAGCTCCTCCTCTGAACATGCCCGAACCATCTAAGTCTCGCTTCCCGCATGTTGTCATCGATAGGAGCCACACCCACCTTCTCCCGAATACCTTCATTCCTAACCTTATCCATCCTAGTGTGCCCACACATCCACCTCAACATACTCATTTCTGCAGCTTTCATCTTCTTGGTATGTGAGTTCTTAACTGGCCAACACTCAGCCCCATACAACATGGCCGGCCTAACCACCGCTCTATAAAACTTGCCTTTGAGTAGCAGAGGCACTTTCTTGTCACACAGGACTCCAGATGCTAACCTCCATTTCATCCACCCCACCCCTATACGGTGTGTGACATCCTCGTCGATCTCCCTACCCCCATGGATAACTGACCCAATGTACTTGAAACTACCTCTCTTGGAAATGACCTGCGATCCAATCCTCACGTCCATGCCCTCTTCCCTCAGCCTGGCACTGAACTTACACTCAAGATATTTCGTCTTCGTCCTGCTCAACTTGAAACCTTTTGAATCAAGGGCTTGTCTCCAACCTCCAGCCTCTCATCAATTCCTCTCCGGTGCCTCTATAGCACCCAATTAGCCTCCAAACACACACAAACATGCCATTTCCGTGCAGATTAAAGTCAATCACATAAAAAACCATACGATAAACTTCAAGGTTACAGTACTANAGATCCCTGGCATATGTATTGAGGATACCAAGAGATCCTCGGGATACCAAGAGATCCCTGGCATATGTATTGAGGATACCAAGAGATCCTTGGGATACCAAGATATCCCTAGTGTGTATATTGAGGATACCAAGAGATCCCGATTATTTATCTTGCCGTGAAGGGTATTTCCTTGTAGTTTGCCTTTATCTCTGTTTCCGTTATTGCACTAGTATTATACTGTGTAGATCCTTATTATCGACTCTCAGTTTTACTGCTTAATACCCTGTCTTTTCATTATATATATTATCTCAGTAGGGCCCTGACCTTCCTCGTCACTACCCAACCGAGGTTAGGCTTGGCACTTACTCCCATCCTCCTCACCCTCGCTTCTACTATCCTCTCCCACACTTTCATGGTATGACTCAATAGTTTGATACCCCTATAGTTGTTGCAGCTCTGGATGTCACTTTAGTTCTTGTACAACCTCCACTTGTTCGGCATCCTCTTCGTCTTGAAAATAACATTAAACAACCCTGTCCGCCACTCCAGACCTGCTCTACCCACACACCTCCAAAATTCTACCGGAATCTCGTCAGGCCCGGTAGCTTTGCCCCTGCTCATCTTTCGCATAGCTCCCATGACCTCCCCAACCTTGATGCGCCTATAGTACCCAAAATCGCGGTGGCTCTCAGAATGCCCCAACTCGCCTAGCACAATATCCTGATTCCTTTCTTTATCCAGAAGTTTGTGAAAGTAAGTCTGCCATCTTCGCTTAATCTGGGCCTCTCCCATCAGTATTCTACCGTCCTCGTCTTTGATGTACCTCACTTTATACAGATCCCGTGCCTTGCTCTCCCTCGCCTTAGCTAACCGGAATAATTTCTTCTCCCCGCCTTTGGCCCCTAGATCCTCTTAGAGATGACAAAAAGCCACAGTCTTAGCCTCCGTGACCGCCCATTTTGCCTCCTTCCTTGCTACTTTATACCTCTCCCTGTTCGCACTCCTTCCAACCTCGCATGTGCTCCCTACTAACTTCAGGTACGCCGCCTTCTTCGCTTCCACTTTACCTTGGACCACTTTATTCCACCACCAGTCACCCTTGTACCCGCTAGCGAAACCCTTCGAGACTCCCAACACGTCTCTCGCTGCCTCCCGTAAATAATCTATCGTGGTCGACCACAAAACGCTCGTGTCCCCACTACTTCTCAAGGCTCCCATGGACGATAGCCTCCCTTCAAACTCCTGAGCTTTATCCTTAGTCAAGGCTCCCCACTTGATCCTCGGTCGACCTCATGCAGTCCTATTCTTCCTCTTTATCATAATCCCGACGTCCATCACCAAGAGCCTATGCTGCGTCACAAGTGTCTCACTCAGGATAACCTTGCAATCCTTACACAGCCCTCTGTCGCTCCTCCTAAGGAGCAGATAGTCAATCTGAGTCTTCACCACCGTGCTCTGAAATGTAACCAAATGCTCCTCCCTCTTTGGATAACTAGAGTTAGCAATCACCAGCTCAAATGCCCTTGCGAAATCCAACAACGAAGTTCCTCCAGCATTCCTATCCCAAAAACCAAAGCCACCATGCACATATATAACATGTAGCAACTACTTCAAATACGAATAAATCATTTGCGGAAGAGATACGTGACAATGAAAGAGTTAACAATTTCGATTAAAGCATATAAGAGTAAATTTGGCAATAAAAGATAAAACATGGACTAACAACTTCAATTAAATCATGTGAGAGTAAACTCATCAATGAAGGATATAACATATTATGAAAAGTTCATTTAAGTGCATGGATGAAGTGTATAAGTCTACACAAGTGAAAAACCACATATAGCCCGTGTACACGTCTTCCGCATAATACGGATAACACAATCAAACCAATCCCTAGGGGGTAATTCCCCCACACAAAGTTAGGCAAGATACTTACCTCAACTAGGCCAAATCATACTCAAAAATAGCTTTTCCTTTACAATTCACCTCCACTCGGCTCAAATATAATAACAACCGACTTGATAAAATCAAATAATGCAAGAGAAACAAATTACAATAAGTAAAGCTATGATGTTTATACAATTTCCAAAAAGTCAATAAAAGTCAACACCGGACCCGCCCGGTTAAAACCCGGGGCCAAGGGTAGGTCTTGACTACTCATAACCCTATGACTCAATATTTGTGTTTTGTTTCAAAATTCGAGTCCAATTCGACTCACAAAACTTAAATCTTTATTTTTCAAAACTTTGACAAAAATCCCCAATTTTCCTCTTTGATTCTCATAAATCTGATGTTAAATCTTGGGTAAAATCATGAAATATAGTTCGAAATTGATTAGAATCACTTACCCAATGTTTGTAGATAAAAATCCCTCCTCAAAATTGCCTCCTACCGCGTCTAGCCATTATCGCAAATGTGAACAGACCACTACCCAGCCATTATCGCAGATGCGGCTAGGGCTAGGCAAAAGCAACATCGCAAATGTGGAGCCCTTATCGCAAATACAAAGACAATCAACAACATCAGACCTTGCAAAAGCGATTCCCACCTCGCAAATGTGAGATATGTTGCTACACCTGACCAAAACCAACAACCCGAAATTCTTTCTAACACCGCGAAATGGGTCCGACCATCTAGGCTCCACGCCAAGCATAAATACAAGTCTAGAAACATAACACAAACTTGCTCGCGCGATCAAACCATCAAAATAACATCCCAAACCATGAACCGGACCCCGAAGATACATGTAATTTACGTGAAACTCAAGAACTCCTAAAAAGACAACCGCGTGTCTGATTCCTATCAAATCAACTCAGAATGGCGCCAAACTTTGCAGACAAGTGCTAGCATAACAAACCTATTCGAAGTCCCAAAACCAAATTTCGAACCCGATAGCTGTTGATACCCAATTTTTCCCTCACATATTTCAAATATGCATATATACTTTCAAAATAGGGCATGGGCATCGTCAAGTATTTTTCCTAAATTTCCCATAATTTCTAAAGATTTTTTAATCAATTTATTCCCCTATTTTATTGTGTAAATAATTATTAAATGCATCACAAATTAGTTTTTATAATGTTTTTATCATCTAATTTCATTATTTACACCCAGATTATATATTAAATATTTTAACATATTTATCATAAATACATTTGCATTTTAAAGACTAAAATTGCATATTCTGCAATAATAGCGCTTATATACTTATAATCACTCTATTTATGCAAAAAATAACCTTTTATATTTTTAAAATAGTAATAATTGTTATTAACCATTTTTATGCACAAATAATATTATTACTATTTTATTTATCATTTTTACGAATTATTTTTATTAATTAAAAATGGGTATTTAACTAATAGCCCTAAATTCCTATTTTTCGGACCTAGGCTACCCAAATCAGCCCAATTACTTAAAATACACCAGCCCAATGCCCAACCCAAACCAACTGACCCCTAACCCAATAACCCAACCGGTACCCGTTTAATTGACCCGCCCCAGCCCCTCTTTAAATTCCTGGCCGTTGATCTCAAAGATCAACGACCCACATTTAACCCCACCCTTTTAATTACCCAAAATCCCTAACACTAACCCGTTTCTCACCACCCGCCACCCCTAAATGCTCTCTACTCCTCTCATCTCCTCTGAAACACTAGGCGCCGTCATCCATTATCTTTCTTCGATTCCAATCGGATATGGAATCCCTTGACGATTTTCTTGCCTTATCGGTCATATCTCACTACTGGCTACTCGATTATGGTATTGTTTAGAAGCTTGCCTAACATGGCAAGCTAATCTCTCCATTTTCGGACCAAATCTGGCTCGAATCCTCCCCTCTTCTCATCTGTGTTCGTCTTCCCCCTCTCTATGTACGAATCTCTGAAGATTTTCTCTGTTCTCATTTACCCTAAATGCTAGGGTTTAGATATTTTACAGATCTGTTTATATTTTTATCATTTTTTTGTTTAAGAATTCCTTTATGTTCTTGTATGTCTATTTCTTTATGTTTTTCCGTTAAAAGTTTTGCCTAATTTATTTGTCCTAAAATTAGGGCTCAGATATTGCTAATATCTGTTTTGGTCCTATTTTGGTTGAGTATCTCAACCTTCCCGTATATCTGCCTTCTATTTTCGTGATACTGTTTTGCCTAAATTATTGGTCCTAAATTAGGGCTCACATCTGTTAATGGTTCTTATTTTTGATTAACACTTTTCTTCAATGTCTCCTATATCTGTCTATGTGCGTATCATTTTGATTTCCCTTTAATTATTCCGACTGACTGTATTTACCCTTAAAATTAGGGTTTTCTTATTTCGCTTCTCTTACTGATTCTGTCTATGGCTACTTACCTTAGTTGCTGCCAGACCTATTTGATTACTGTTATTTCTGACTTGCCTTAATAATATTCTGAGTCTTCCTTAAATTATTTGATTAATTATTTCCATGATTGCGTAGCCTAGTCTAAGGCTATATAAACCCCTCTCCTTTTCCCCTTTAGGACAGACTAAAAAATTGATAGACTCTCACTGAAAACTTAGGTTTTGGCTCTGTACTCTCTTTGCTCTCTCGTTTGATTCTGGTCTTGGCCGGCTGAAAGCTAAGGCCAAGTAATCCTGGGTTCTCGACTATTGTGGTGTTATTCTTGCTTTTCTT